ATCCCTGCAAAACCGATAGGGGTCACCCCTGGGCATATTCTAGCTGATCCCTGCATAACCGATAGGGGCCGACCTGAGTTCTCGCGGGCTTTACGTCGAACCATAGGTTTAGTCAGCCGCTCATATGTATGTATGTATGTATGTATGTATGTATGTATGTATGTATGTATGTATGTATGTATGTATATATAAATACATACACACGCGCGTGCTTTCATCTACATAGATGTATGCATACTTGCTTTCTTACATACGTACATACATACATACATACATACATACATACATACATACATACAAGCATACATGCATACGTGAATAGATGCATACTTTCATGCATATACATTGTGTGTGTGCGCCGTGCATGCGTGCATGTCTCCGTGTTTCTGATGTCTAAGATTTGATTAGCGGTGGTTCGACATTGGGGTTCTCTTAAGGGTCTTTTGTCCTGGGAGTTGTTTCTGACCCGCGGTGAGTACAGCCCCAACAAGGCACGGGTGTTGACTTCTATTTCGTTGTTGCGTGTTTGTTCGTTTCGACAGCTCCTGCGTCTTGCCTACTCTTGGTCGTGTCCGGCTGGCTCGGAAAGTATTAGTTCCATCTAGGCAAGGATGTTGAGCTTCTTGCGGGGAACTAGACGTGATGTTCATGATGATGACCTCATGATAAGATCCCTAAACCCTAAACCCTAAACCCTAGATCTTTGAATGCATTCAATTCCTTTGAGCTGTTCTCCCAGCCGAGAAGGTGATCGCCACGCAAAGATCACGCTTGCAGCGGACGGCGCGACGACGCGAGCTGCCCACCGCGGAGGGCGAAGGCTTGCATCTGAGTTGAGGTCAGGTCCGGAGTTCAGAATTTCTGCCAAGAAGTCATATAAAACTTTATATCAAAAAAAATACATTAAAGACAAATATTTCTGCCCCAAAAAAGAAGTCTGCAGAATTCCCAATAATTACTAATCCTGGGGGTTCCTGATTATGAGGACCTACTTGGAGGTTCATGGGTGGTTATAAGTGGGGTTATAAGTCCCTAATATGGGGTAATAACTACAGTTACCCTTCTTATAACCCCACTTATAACTACCCATGAACCTCCAAGTAGAGGTCTGCATAATTCCCAATAATTACTAGTCCTCGGGGTTCCTAAGTATGAGGACCTACTCCAATCCTTATAGGCCCTTATTTAATGTAGGGGCCTTGAAAATTCGACTAGGGTTTTGGGGGGTTCCTTATTATAACTGTACTATCATGGGCCCCAAAACCCTATTCTAATTGTTAAAACCCCTACATTGCTCCTGTTGAAGTCGGTTTTAAGGCTCAGGGTTCCACAGGGCGGAAGATTCAGAAAAGGGTTGGCCAGGGCTTCCACTTTCACCGAAAAAGGTATCCCGGAACGTGAGGCTGTCAAGAACACTAGAACCCTGGATCCTAAACCCTGATATAGGGGCTTAATGATTTGAATAGGGCTTGAGGGTATATTGTGCTATATATTTAATACAGCCCCCAAAACCCCATTCTAATTATTAAGGCCCCCACCTTATATACCCCTCCCCCAGCTCTGCTGAGTTCAGGTTGGGGTTCCATCCAGCTCGGTTGGGCAGAGCCCGCGGGAGAGCACTGGAGCTCGGCCAAAGACTGGCCGAGAGAAGAAGATGAGGATGCGTGAAAGCAGCATGTAGGATCATCTAACCGCCTAGACAAGAGGAGCAGGTTATTCTTGCACATGTTTCTGTCACCAGTGAAATTGTGTGTGACGTAGGCTGGAGGTTTTAGGGTCTCAGATTCGGCTAAAGATTGCCATAGCAGGCTGAAAACGTTGGTGCAAAGCCACGTAAGGAAGCTTACAAGCCGGAGCCCTTAAAACCCTCCAACTTAGCCTTGCAGTATTGATGACAGTACAACATGATGCATACATTCTTTTGCTGAAGTCTGTGGCCGCACGATGATACTTCCGAAAACGCTTCACGGTAGTAGAGAAACGTGAATATGGTGTGATCTCGTTGTTTTCAAGATCGCAACCGGTCTTCTCGCCTTCCTTTTTACTTAGTCATCCCCCATCATCATGACATGATTCGCATAGTAATACTGCCTGCTTACTTTTTCCTAAACCCTAAACCCTAAATTTCCAGTTTCGTGGCTCACTTTGCACGCTGGGAATGTGGGCACGAAGGGTTGTTGGGCCTCGAAGCATTTGGGTTGGGGTATATAGGGGCCTAAACAATTACCAACACTATTTTGGGGGCTGCTTATGGTAATGATTGTATTCTGATTGTTAAGGCCCCTACATTAGGGGTTTGTATTGTGCTGTGCGGCGGTTTCATATCCTACAGCACCCTCCTGAGAGCACTTGGTTGTAGAATCTGAACACCCCTTGCCCTGAACGGCACATTCGTGCCGACGAGTGTATTTGACGTGACACGCAGTGAAGAATGACACGAGCGTCCATTCGACATGTTAGACAGTGACCGTAAGCGCTATGCCGGCCATTCATCCTGTGTTTAGGATCCGTGGTGTTTGGCTGGTTGTTTATGTTTGTAGGTAGTCTTAGCAACTGGGACAGACTTTCACCGCAGACATTACTCAAAGTCTCACCCGCAGTTTTGGGCCGGGATATCCTACATGCTGAAATGAGAGCACCTCTGTGCATATTTACTAATGCTTGCCAGACAAGGAACCTGCTGCAAAAATCCTGTCTGTCAGGAGATGACTCCTAAACCCTAAACCCTAAACCCTAAAACCCTAAACCCTAAACCCTAAACCCCAAACCCTAAAACCCTGAACCCTAAACCCTAAACCCTAAACCCTAAAACCCTAAACTTTTTAAACCCTAAACCCTAAACCCGGGCCTGGCCAAAGAGCAGGGTCCCGGAGTCCAGTCTTCATTTTTGCCCGAGAAGAAACGGGGACGGACAAGGCCTTGCTCTTCAATTTTCATATTGCTCACCAAAGCCTTCCGCTCTACTGATTCGACGATTCGAGTGTTGTAGCTTACATGTTGGGTCATATAAGATGCAAGGAGGAACTATGAGAAAGCACCTAACTTGATATGCGCCAGTTCTGCGATGCACGCCGCAGGGAATCTGTCGACCACCCAGTGCTTTAGTACGTGAGAATATATGCGAGTAAGGAGTTATAGTTGTTTCTCGGTGCATGTATACATGTGTATACATACGCGTACACCCTTGTCGAATTTTGGCATCCGCAAACCCTTGTAAGTTTCTTGATATGTGAGCCTTAAGCCCCCTTAGGGTTCATTTCGTCCCTAAGGAAGGAGCCCTTGTCCTAGTTCCGCGTGCCTGGACCTTCCGGGGTGTGGGCTCAGTATTACTATTAGTAGTAGTATTTATTATCAATACTATTATTATATACTGTTCTTGTTCTTATTATTGCTATTATTATTTCCAGTTGTATTATTACTATGACTATGACTACTGCTACAGTTAGAGTGTTGTTAGTACCTTCTGCACAACACAGCCAAGTCGCCCAAATCCAGCCCGGAGGCTTCTGCAGCCTGAATTAACCTGTAGGGTGTAGCGCGTAGGGTTTAGGTTTTCGAGTTTAGGGGTTTAGGGGTTAAGGGTTTAGGAATTAATATTTAAGGGTTTAGGGGTTTAGGGGTTTAGGGTTTCGGGTTTACGGGTTTAGGGGCTTAGGGTTGAGGTTTTATAGTGTGTAGGGATCAGACGCCTCGGCTTTGCGACTTTGCACTCATTTCTTTTAAATCCCAGCTTTCTGAGAAGTACCTACCTTCAACAACCTCGGAACCTCTATGACAACTCTTCAGATCAAATGTGTTTGATCCTAAACCGAAACCCTAAACTGCACAGTCACTGTGAGACAAAAACCCAGAACCCGAAAGCAAGCCCTAAAACCCAGGCCGTAAACACCGAAACCTTAAAAAACCCGAAAGCCTAAACCCTAAAACCCTAAACCCTAAACCCTAAACCCTAAAACCCTAAACCCCAAAACCTTGAACCCCGAAACCTTAAACCCTAAAGGGTAAATCCGCTTAGGTAACGAGCCTCTCTTCGAATCCTTGGGGGCGCAGATGCTTCGACTGGAGGAGGAGGCCGGGTGGACGGCGTCTTTTAGGGGTTTAGGGTTTAAGGTTTGGGTTTTAGGATTTAGGGTTTAGGGTTTGGGTTTTGGGATTTAGGGTTTAGGGTTTGGGTTTTAGGATTTAGGGTTTAGGGTTTGGGTTTTAGGATTTAGGGTTTAGGGTTTGGGTTTTAGGATTTAGGGTTTTTGGTCTAGGTTTGAGGGTGAGTTCCTTGAATGGCCCTGCTTGGGGTTCTCACTGTTGGGTTCCTTTCTGTTAAATTGGTTGAATTGACATACTACAAGTGTCACTATCAGGGTTCCTTGAAGGGTTCTACCTAAGGGCTTTTTCGTGGTTTCCGAAAATACGGGACCCTAGTATAGTACCCCGAATAGTAGGATCCTTATCAAAAGGACGTACCCCTTGTTTCGGAAACTCCTATAAACTACATGGATTACTATCACGGTTCTACACGGGTTTAGGGTTGGGTCGTCCGGGCCCCGAGCCCTAAACCCTACACCCTAAACCCTGAAAATTTCTGGCTAACCCTAAACCCTAAAACCAGGGCTTTACAGGTTGGTCTTGGGGCTCTTGGGCTGCCTTTAGTGTCATTTATGGCTTCAGGGTTCCGGGTTCCGTTTTGCCGTGTTAGGCTTGTTTGAGTTCTAGGGCTTTAAAGGTTTAGACGTTTAGAGTTTACCACGAAGTAAGGACTGGGGTTCAACTTCGCAGTTTTTAGAAATTGGAGGGGAGGTGCGCGGGGTTGTAGCTCTGGGAGGGCGGGGCAGTCAGGTGGAGAGTTTTGGGCTTGGAGGGTTTAAGGTGGGCATTTTGGGTGTAGGCTTCAGGGCAATATGGAGTTTGCGCAGATTGGCTTAGGGTGGGGGCATAGAGGCTTGGTGCGGGGTCAGGACCAAAGTTAAACTCCTGATCTGATATAGCCTTCACCTTATGCGCATGCTGCCCTTGTCTCATCCAAACCAGACCTGCAACCCGAAACCCTGAACCCTAAACCCTAAACCCCTACTCCCTAAGTCCGAGGCTCTGAAACCCTGAATCCTAAAACTCCTCACGTCCTTGAGCCTTCAATATGTAGCTTCGACAAATTACACATGGGGCTCCCGTCCTTTATAATATAAACTGACTCCAATTATATGTATAGGTATATACACACGCCCCCAAACCCTATTCTAGCTATGAACTATAGCATCCTTGGCAAACAAAGGGAAGAGCCCTTGCAGAAATCCTTGCATCCTTATGGCCTTGTCTTAAAAATGCCTATTGCACTCTTCAGAAAGCTTTTCAATGAGCTCCTACAGAAACCCTAGTTCACACTAAACCCTGAACCCTGGGTTTAGGGTCTATAGGGTTTATGGCCTCCAGTGCAGGAGCCTTCCGCCGTGTCAGAAGAGCCTCTGCCGACTAAGGGCTTGAAACAAGTGGCCTGTGGAATTAGAGTGGGGTTTGGGGTTTAGAGATCAGCGGCGTTCTGTACAGGGATCTACAACGGTTCTGCAAGTGAATTGGGGGTATAGGGGCCTAAATACATGCAAGTCGAAGTTCAGCTCAAAGTGGCGTCGGCCGGAGAGTACTTGGAGGTTCATGGGTAGNNGGTAGTTATAAGTGGGGTTATGAGTACCCCTGAACCTCCAAGTGAATAGTGCAGGGTGAGGGGTGAGCTGGTTGTTGTGCTGAACCAAACCTCCGCTTATTTGGGCAGCCCCCAGGGTTTAGGGTGTAGGGTGTAGGGTTTAGGGTTTAGGGGTTTAGGGTTTAGGGTTTAAGGTTTAGGGGTTTGCGCTGTAGTCGCTCGCGCCTTTTCCCGGAGCAGCTGCCCATGCTTTTTCACGCTGC